ACTTACAATGCGATGACGCCAGCGGTCTCGCTCCGATTTTGATGAAACACCGATAAGGATGTAGCCTTAGGTAAATAATTGAACAAATGTTTCGGGATTTTTCATAATGCTTAGTTTAAACAAAGTTATGATGCTATAAGTGGCCGAAAATTCGTATTTTTCTCCCTTAAAAACAACAAGATAAAAACTTCACGAGAAAAATGCGAATTTTCGGCAACTTATACCATCATAACTTTGTTTAAACTGAGCATTATGAAAAATCCCGAAACATGTGGTCAATTATTTATGTAAGGCTACGTAATTATCGTGGTTTCATCAAAATCGGAGCGAGACCGCTGGCGTCATCGCATTGTTAGCATAAAAAACGTCTAAACACTACATTAACCGGATTAAAGGTGTGATATCAAACCAATCTCGTCATTATCAACATTTCCAAGTTCCAATTTGTCAGATTTTTTTTGTAAATTATAAAAAGTGATATATTTTTCTGTCTAATTTATCTTGGTGACGACAACAACTGTATTTTTGACGATTTGAGTCAAATCATTTGACCCAATGAGAAAGCTAGTGACGGTTTTCATAATCATTAACCATATTTTTCTTTAGTTATTTGATCCATTGTTTGTGTGTGCTGAACATAATTAAGGAGGGATAAACGAAACAGTAGTGCGTCGGCACTAATAATTAGTATATCTTTATATGTAAATGAGAAATGCGTAATTTAAATATAAATGATTCATGAATTAAATACAACTAGATTTGGATAATAATTATACACTTTCATACAAGAGTGTTCATTTACATGTTGTTGGAAATACTGAATTATAGCATTCGCGAGCTAACGATATATATCGTCCCCATGTTGAGATAAAAAATCACACCTAATTTCCTACGAAAGGAAAAACAGTAATCAGTCCTCTCATAGTTTATTAATCCAGCAAACTAATTGGAATTCCCTAGGGTAGCTTATAATTCCATGAAGCAAATATAGGAAAATCCAATTTTACGGGCGACAAGACAACAGCTAATTTTGCAAAGTCTTTCCTACTCCTTATTCCTACATAACTACCGAACAACCTTAGCAGGTTTAAGAAATAGTGTTACGTTTCTAAGCCACCCGTAGATCGATGAAGAATTTTAGAAAATTTATTGCTCATCAATAGGACTAATTCTGATTTGACGGAAACACATTTTCCATTTTTTTTAATTGTTCAGAACGAAAAGAAATATTTGTGCTTCTAGTGTCCAGAAGAACTAACAAAGTGTGGTAATTCCAGATATCGCAACACATGTGAAATAATTGAATTCAGTTTAGTTTTATGTTTTAGTTTTATGTAATTAGTTTATGTATTTGCGTTTATCCATATTTATTATCATGTGGGGAAAAAGGAGTCACTGGATGTAATTAAATGTTTAGTGGTTTGTTAATATATTGTTTCTTATTGAAGCGTGCAACTCTTTGGGAACAATCTATTATCAAACGGTACATCATTTACGGCAAACAGTCTCCAAAGTTTAGATAGATTTACTTTCCTTTACATTTTAGGTATGCAAATTAAAATGGATAGCATTCTAAATTTAGTGATAATCCTATTATATTTTTTCGTAAAATGCGAATCCAGTAATAATTTTCTTCCCTTGTTTCGCATTCTCCTTGACAAAACGGAAACTTGTGACATTCAGGTATTTCATGATGGACAAAATGAAAACGTTGATTGGTTCGGTATTAGTATGCCGGTAAAGGTCGTTCAAATCCCGCAGGATACTGAGGAACCATTGCAAATAGACATATTCAAGGCAAGAGTACTGACATCTTGTAAACTCGTGGTGTTTCTTTCAAAGTTCGGAATAAGTGACTCAGTTATTGAAAAAGAGCTAAGTTTAGAAGAATGGATTCAGATTTCGAGTAATGGACATTTGTATTACGAAGAAAACACCCAGAGAGTTTCAGTTCAAAGTTCACATATGATAATTGCTTTCGCAATCACAGAGGGCAATAGAATCCGACTCGGCCAGATTTATTTCTGGGCGAGGCACTTTTTCAAAATTACCGTACTACTGGTTTCCCATAAAGATTCGTTTGAAATATGCGTTTGGTCCCCAAGGATATGGGAAAAACTAATGTCAAATTATTCCAGTCTTCAAGAAAACTTGATCTGTAGCGCTGAAAAACCTGGTACTATGAGAACTAGCGTATTTGCCGCAGTTAAAGAAATATCGATACCCATGCCATCCTGGTGCTATCTGGATATAATTCGAATGAGGGCAAACGATTTAAAAATTGATGGTAGCAGTGAAAACGAAAGAATGTTGTTAAAGTCTCATGCAGACAAGATTCTCCACTTCATATTCTTAGCCGCAAACGAGACATTAGGTTTAATCAGTGGGTGTTCGACGTTAGTCCCAATAGTGGTCGTCAAGTCAACTCCGAGAGCCCTCACTTATGAAATTACGTTCGTAATCACGGAAAATGTTGGGTATCAACATTTGACCTGTTATCGACAAGAATATCTAACTTTTAAGCTTTACGTTGCCCCATTTAAACCATTGCTGTGGATGACATTGGCCATCTCAATAGGCTTAATTACTGCGATTACCACCGGCTATACGTATTGGAAACATTTATCATTCGCGCCTTGGCTTTTTCTCCTTGCCACAATGTTTGAGGAGGACGTAAAGGTACCTAGAAAATCAAGAGGAAGCTGGTTTATTCGTTTAATCCTAGGGTCGTGGTGCTTTGTGTCTGTAGTTCTTACAAATTGCTATACAGGAGTTATGATATCAGAACTTAACGCACCTCTGAAAGCCGTACGACCAACACAGTTTAGGCATCTTTTGTGCAGCAGAATGAGTGTGGCAGATATATCTAAATTCCTCCAAAGCTTTAAACAAAACCGAATAAAATATCACAATTACGACCTAGGAAAAGGGTCAGTCGCAGGATTTTCATAGCACGGTTATGACCGGACAACATTTTATTTCGTAAAGTTACAAGATTTAGATTGGAGCTACGCTCATGGCGGGATTACATTACCAGTTCTTGAACTTTATAACCCATTCGCGTCAAATGAGTGCTTCAAGCTGATTTCGTTACCAAGGGGTTATGTCTCAGAGTATGCAAACCATCCCGAATTTTTGGGGTACTTGATGACCGTAAGTACAAGACTGATTGTTACCTGGCAGTTAAATATTGTCAGTGAAAAGATGCTAGAACTATTTAGTTTGTTTGACCCAAGGTATGTCCATTATCCACTCAGTTTTCAATATTCCAACCCAAACCAAACATTAATCGAGTTGAGAAATAGCATAGAAAGTGAGTTGGTTGAATGCGGTAAGTCGGTATTCATTTCAAAATCGGATGAGATTGAGGCAGAAATTAAATTTCTGGAGAGACATTATCCTACAAGAAAGTTTTACGTTAAAAGAGTTTTACGTTACGAATTAAGTAAAGGATGATTGCTTTTTTGTTTTTTCATAAATTTCACCACCAGGGGTCGGAAAACCCCAAGTTTTCATCCGTTTTTTTGGGGTTTTATTGAGTTGATGGGTTTTAAGTAGGGCATGTAATCTCGATATATCGATATTACAATACCAAAATTGAAATCTTATGTCATCAATTCTTGTCAATCCTATCAATCTTATCAATTTATGAATTTATTTAATTAATATAGCACTCTTGAATTCAAACTTTGGGGTGTAACCAAAAATCAATTTTGGGAACTTTGGTGGTGTAACTAAATCAAAATTTCATAATAATAATACCGAACTTTGACTTGGCCATGGTTGCACCTAATAAAATTTTGATTTGGGTACACCCCAGAAACTTCCTAAATTGATTTTCCAATTGGTCACACCCCCAAAGTTCGAATTATTGGCATTCTCGAAAGCCAGGCATTAATAAAATAAATTCAAACTGCAATATTCTATATTCGGTATTGAAATACCGAAACCGTTATTGAGATTGCATGCCCAAGTTTTAAGCAACGAAAAAATTTCACAACTATTGCAAATCCATTCATAATCATACATATTTGACATCTCCGTCCAGGTTAGAAATTATTTAGGTTCAAAAATAAATTGCGTGCATCAACTGAAACTTGTGGCACCGAAGGATGCCAATTTTTTAGATTTTCAAAAAACCCAATTATCAAGACCTCCGCGTTATTAGCACGGCGCTCTAACCAACTGAGCTAACGGGCCTTTGATAAATGCTCCGCTTCTCCTCACCAGATTTCTGAATACGTCGATATTCTCATGGGTAATGGCTTAATTGCGGTGTACTTTCTGCACTGATTTTTGCTCCGATATGCATTCTCAATATGATAATAAGTAATAAACCTTTGTACAGCAGAGGCTAATAAAGATTAGGTACGATACATCTGTACATAAGGGAAATTAAAAACTTCTATGTGACTCCGGCGTAGTCAGATTTTTAAAATTGTGAATTGTACATACATACTGAAACTCTGCGAATAAATTACTCAACTTGTTATAATAAAAACACAACCGAAATTAAAAATTTTGTGATGTGTTTATTTTTGTTAATGTCTACCCGCAAAATTATTTCGTATGTATTTTTTACAAACACATTTGCAAGATTGTGTATAGAAAAGGTCTTCCTAATGAGATTGGCATATGAAGAATGGTCTGCATGTTAAATTTGCTAAGCAGTGTATAAATATGTAAAGCCGGGGTATGCCTACACGTACTCTTAATTCGATTGATATGTATTTTTTACTTTAAGGCGAACGTCACCTAACGAAAGGGAAAATGTTTTTGTGTTTATTATTTACAAAAAAGAAGTGACATTCATTCCTTCTTCATTATTATAGAGATTGTGTAGAATGTACGGGAAGGAATCCCGAATCCAGTCCTGTCTATGTAACAAACGGGTATCTACAATTCTTCTTCCTATCATTCCGTGCCGTAAGTCAGGCACGCATTCCGCTGTAGTTTTTTTCCTGTTCTGATTTTTCCCCAGTTCTGAAGGGAATGCGTGACTGAGCAGTTGTGGTTTCAGAACAGGTTACACAACAGAAGTGAAGTTTTTTCAAAATTTTGGTGGATTTACTTGTTTGGAAAAAATAATTTTTTTCGTAAAATTTCTAACCGTGCGGTTTTTCCATGTTGGTAAATATGGAGGGTGGTGACGAAAGTGGGCGTCGGAGTCGAGGCCAAACACCGGATCGGTTGGATGCCACTGTTACAACCAAAGGTGGGGGTGGTGGGCGAAGTAATCCGCACAGTCGGAGGGGTTCACATCTCTTGGTCGCTGCCGGAATTGGGATCGAGCAGAGGAGGAAATTATCCCAACAGAATGCAGAGGCGCACGGGAAAGTTTTCCAGAGGGGGAATCAGGTCAGTATAATTTTTTTGTGGGGGAAACGCTTTTGTAAAATATGGAAGGGGAATGTTTAGATTGTTTATTCGAGAATAAAATGGGTTGGTCAAGATGTTACTGTTTACTTAATAATTTTGATGGTGACATACATGTAATTTCATGGGATGGTTCAATTAGCCGATATGCTCTAATGTACGATATCCCTGAGGACGGACCCTTACCGTTCCCTGGGAATTTTGAATTTGGCCGTAAAGAATTCTAATAATATTAAATTTAAGCGTTTTATTAGTCATGCTGGGATGAACGTATTTATTAAGGAATAAGGGTAATTTTTATCGTGTCAAGAAATAATTTCATTGCTCTTGGAATATTGCTCAACGTTAAAAAAATTCTTTTTGTACTTTTGTAGGGAAATCGTTAGTTGATATAGCAATTTTGTTACGTTTTTACAATATAAATAAGTATATATTTGTCACGATTGGTAATAATCACTGATTATTAATCAGGGAGAAAGTAGGGATCCCGCGAGTGATACATAAGTCCACTTATGTACACTTCTTGCCCAAATTATTGGTCAATTTCCAAATTTTTCATAAATACTTGGTTATGAGTTTGATTCTAGTGTAGGAATAAAATCCATTCATGCTAAATGACCAGGATTTTTTCTCAGTATTTTTTCAAGGGGTCACCAAGTCTGGAATTGACAGACTTACTTCACCGCCCACGGGAAGTGTGGGTGGTGACGAGAATCTCGGTGCATCTTTTTACGATTTTCTGGTTAAATATTAACAGAATTATGCGGTCTGGCTGGTGGCATGATTTGTGAAGCATGTGAAATGAATCATCATCACAGATTTCCTTTAAACAGTTTGTGGTTGAATTATTCGTAAAATTACAAGAGTTAATGTGCTAGGCCTGGTTTCATTTTAGTGTTCATAATCGCTTTAGAGTCTACGGTTATTTAGACATTCAGTGTTTGTCAGATGTCGAATCAATGACTATGGTTGGATTTTTTTAATATACCGTCGGATTGGTAATATGAGATCTGACCATAGTGGTTACAAAGGTGAAAATAAGTAAATATTTAGCACGTCAGCTATCAGATCCAACTGCCCGGCCTGATGTCATATAAACATGTGAATCGCCTCATAACTATAATCCCCAGAAATTTATGAGCATTAACAACTCCGACAAAAATTGGGTTCTCTAATCTTGCATGCTTAAGGTAAGCGTAAATGCATACATAATGTGTGAACATTGGGATAACTCGGCCACGACTTTTACAACCAATTAACTTAACTTGTAGGGAAAACAGTATATGGTTGGTGGTGGTAGTGGCCGCGGAAGTTTTTAGAGGAGGCCAGTAATTGGGAAATTAGGTTCAAAATATTATATAACAGGATAGGGGAATGATTTACAAATTAGCATATTGACGAGATAGAAGGTTTCTATCCTTATAGTTCCGCGTCCCCTGTACGTATTCTAATGGTGGTGGCGTGTTTACGTAACGAAATAAGTAAATGGGAAGAATTGAGCAATAATCTGCTTCACGATCCATATCCGAGGACTGCACTTTATGCTATTTTTACACCCATTTCCCCCAGACTTGTCTATTTCTTGGTGCTCGTAATGTGCATGTGTGAGCCATTCCAAGCAGAATAGTCAGGCCATTAGTCTCTTGATATTATTATGAGGGAGAGATTTGGGTATGATTTACATACCTATAGTTGGTTTTAGAGATGATAAGATGTTAGTGAAAATTGCGCTGGTATTGAATATAAGTATCTAGGTATTATATATGTATGTATTTAGTAAATTAAAATAAATCCCTAATAAGTTTTGTTTCCATTAAGGGAAATGTTGGCAAATTTAAAAGTTAATATTCAACCTAACCGGGGATCTTGGTACGGTTATGATTTCAAATTTTTTAGACACGTGACTTTTTGGCATTTAAAAATATCGCGAAGAGTCCGACAAAAATTCACCCAATTTTTTTTGCATTAGTTACAAAAGATTTATGCCAGTATTATGAAAGGATAGAAACGGCTTCAATTTTTAGCCCGACTCAGGACTTATGGAATTATCTTGTCCGTCTGTGGTCTGTCTGTCGCCAAGTTTTTTGCAGTTGTATTCATTGGAACGAATTTGGCAAGTGTTTAAAAAATGGATAATATGAGGTTAGTTTCACAGATGGATGCCAAGGCCAAATGGTTACGGGTCACGTAGGGCAGTGTGTATATAAAAATTTAAAAACAGTTCTTGAGAGCCGAAATTTGGAATGGTGGTAGCTATGGGAATCTAATTAGAGTATTTGACACAAAATTTTTAATACAACGGGACCCTGTCGGGTGACCCATACTTCTGATCCAATCGAGCCGTAATTTGGCACAAACTTAGCCAATTGCTTATAAAGAAATAATATCACGTGAAATTGAGGCAATTGTAATCACTCATACCGATTTTTAAATATTTTCCAATTGATTCCAAATTTTATATACAGGTTACTTACATTAAAGAAATATAAGACTACACAGGAAATTTCCATATCTTGACTCGGGCTGTGTGTGGCTGCCCTGGAGATTTTTTTGCGATCTGATGTCTGTTATAGGGAAATGTTTATTATTTTTTGGCACCAGGAAACAAGTTGAGATAAAAATAATGATCAGCTCGTATGTTAATGTAGTAGATTTTTGGCTGATTAATGCTCCCACGAAAATAATTAACGACGTGGAGAAGGAGTGATTAATCTGGTAGTTATCTAAATAAAATATTTTCTCCATTTTTCAGGTCTTCATCGAGGATAAAGACGGAAATGTGACGAGGCTGGAAGTCGTCGAGGTTCATGAAAAGATGGGCCTCTTACGAAAATCTGTGCCCACGCTGCCACTCTTTTTTGCCATTATTTTCTGCCTCCTTAACACAATTTTGCCAGGAACAGGTATAAATTTTATTAAGAGTGGTTGCCAAATTTTTGTAAATTTATTGTTTAAAAGCTTTTGACAGGATTTCTTTTAAAAATACTTTTACTACTTAATACATGTATTTTTGAAATGTGTAATTTTATGTGACACATTGTATTCATAAACAAGTATTGTGTGTCTGGATAGTAGACTTTATTTTAATACACATGAAGTATAACCACATGTGAATAAGCATAAATGGTATTTGATGTTGGCTCATATTTTAATACGTTAAACAACTACACAAAGTTCAATATTTCGATCGTGAACTTCTAAGGTGAGAATTTGCGACATTTCCTAAAATTCGCAAATATGCAGATATGACCCTCCAATCTTATCAAGTGAGTAAATCGAGGTCCAAAATAATTTTTGAGCCGAATTTGAACGATATTTGACGAGTTTGAGTCAAAAATTAAATGTCGCAAAATTTGCATTAAATTCGCATATTTTTAATTATAGCGAGAAAACCGATTGGAGTACACCCCAATTTCTTTGCGAATTCTTAATCTACACAAAATTACGAAGGTATCTCCGGTCAAAATCGGTAGGGCGGTTAAAAATCACCTTTTGATGGTATTAGTCTATCTTAATAACTACCGACATCTAACATTTATTATGCATCATGAGAAAATTAATTGCAATATTGTACATCTGTATTTATAAATATTCAAAAATTTCCGTACATAATTTCCAAGACTTTAAAATATTTAGTTTTTAAATTCCTACTACAAATAACTCGATCTAACTTCTTCTATTTAAAGTTTGAATTATTTTATTTCACAATAGGGACAATTCTTGGGGCCTTAAGTCTATTTTGCTGTGGAAAATGTCGTCACGAAAAAGTCTCTCGGGGAGTCAAGTATGGCTTTGTTGCTGCTATTTTGCAAATCGTCACCGCAGTTTTTATCGTCGGATGGATTTACAGTATTTACTATGGCGTCACGATGGTCCAAGATTCTTGTAAGATATCAATTTATAACGTCCAATACGATGTAAACCATGCTTGCATAATTTACCAATAATTTTACTATACCGAACCGACATTGAAAAGTTTTCTTATTTTGTGTAGTACTAAAAGGAGCTGGTGCAACTGTGGAGCCGATAAGTGAAGATGTTGAGAATAATAAAAATAACACGGACCCCTCACAACATCCGCAATCTACGTAAAAATGTGCTAAAACAATGTATTTCTATTTTCTTCATAAATAAAATACTATCAAATTTTCATAAGATTTCTAAGGACTTTGGCAATCCAGAAAGACAAGTGCATACCTTGCCCAATCACGTGTAATCTGATAACGATATGATATCAGTTCATGAAAACAGCGAAAGCTTCATGAACGTACTGGATAAAACTATTCTTGTTTTTCCCTCATTCCCATATTTTACTAAGCCCTTTTGTGTATCGGTGGTGTCAAGGTATGCAGAAATACCAATTTTAATCTAACAGACATACATTTCATAGTTTTTCAGAAAAAAAAGTTTTGATGAAATATTTTACCCATTTGTCGTGCCAAATGTTGTGTCAACTAATTCCAATCACTTGTACAGAATAGTTTTTTGATGATGTATGATGATGTATAGTTTTTTGCGCTAATTATTTCTTCACACCTAATAAAACCACTTATTTATATATTCCCAGCAGTTGGTATGTAGAAGAGAAGCAGACATCCTGTTTTTATGATATAAGTTTATACATACATATCTATTAAAAATATTGTACTTTGTAATTACTTGGGATCCGTTCAATGTTGTAAAAACTAAATGATCGTTTTGTTGGTAAAAATAAAGACCATCTACTCATGACTAAAATTGTAAAAATTTCAATGAAAACCATAAAAATTATACTTTTTGAGGAAAAGAGGATTTTGACAAAATTGTACCTTGGCTTATTAACAGCATTGGACGATATTTGTAGCTAGGATTTGCAATACATTCTGATTTATACATAGAAACATGGTTCTTAAGACATATGGAAGTAGATAGACACATAAATATGTGTCAAATTACCGATAATATAATAATTAAATATTGTAATACATGTAATTAAATAGTTAAATACTCTAAATTAGCCGACTCGGGCTTAAGGAAGAAGCACTCGTACTGCAATTACTATACCATTTCAAAGGTGAAGCTACCAAAAAACATAATTTTAAGGTATTTTAAATCAAAAGTATACAGTTATTTGTCGAACTTAGGCCCAGTTACACAGGTTAAGTTATGTACTACGCTCAACACTTGAGATTCTATTAGTTGGTCAAAACCTTAAAGTGCATAGAATGGACAAAGACATCCCTACAGGACAAAGCGATTCCCCAAGTCCTCACTCAAGCTAAAAAGACAACAAAACGAAAATACATATTATGTATGAATAACGAGGGTAACTGAAACGTACATACAGACAAAATGTCCAGCTTCGTTTTCATTGAGGGCTCTGTGTTTTCAATTTTTTTATCTGCTCACACATATCTCAAAAAAACTTGATAATACCTACATAGAATACAGTTCAGGCCTGGCGCCCCGGGCAAATTCCATGCTTGTCCATCCCTAGTTTAGGGCCTGAGCCAGAGTAAAGGCTCATGCAATCGTCATGTCTACAAAGTATGTAGCATTTATCAAGCTCGCCGTCCGTCTCACGATCACTCAATAACACGTTCGCCGATTTGGATGAAAGTTTGGAATATGTACATACATACATATCTCGGAAAGGCAAGAACCGGGTTCGATGAAAAGATGTTTGGACCCGTAGCGGTCATAAAGATGGTGGGATTATACAAATTTCAAAATAGTGGTGGAGGTTTGAAATTTAGTACATGGGTAGCTAATGGCCTCTAAAGAAAGAATGTGAAGTAAAATTGCAAAAATTGGCATTCGGAGAGGCCTTGTGGGGTTACCTATAGCGATTTTTCATAATCGTTATTATAGGTTGTGATATAAAACTTAGCCGTGACAAGGGCTATGTGGACCCAACACTCAAGTTTTTATACATAGATTGATTATTTCTTTCATCAGAATAACTAAATTAAAGATTAAAAAATCTCATCAGAAATGAACTAAAATATTTATGGCTAATTTGACTGCACAGATCCCAGAGGACTGAGAACAGAGATTACCCGTAAGTAAAATTTGTTTAAAAGTCATCACTTATACCTCCACTTGGCTCCGCATTTTTACAAATACTTATCTTGCATATACTAACAGACATTTTTCTGTGCATTTATAATTACTACAAAAACCCATTTTGTGGTTGGATGAAATAAAGGTGAAGCTCTTTTGCAGTGAAAGGTTCACTAGAAATTATACATTTTGACTGAAAGGTAACAACTTAACTGTTAAAGACCTCACTTCCCAGAACCCAAACAATATGACAATTTTAACGGAAGTTTTTTTGGGTGGTCTGTCTGCATAAAACTAGAAGCACCTCTCAGTAAGTTCTGTTGAGCCCAACTAACAGTTTTGAAGAAAATATCTACCACATATTCCTACGAAAGCCAAGTACATAGGTAATATGCATTCATAGTTTCAAGGATTCTCTAAAATTTCTTGAAAATTTCCTGTTTTAAATTATATAAATAGTTAAAATTCGTAGTTAAATAATGGAAGCTACCAGTCCAAAGATCCCACAGTGTCCACAATGCTTAATAAGTTTCAAAACCATCAAGGTTCTAAATACCCACCTCAAAACTCATGACAAGAACGCGTTCGTTAATTGTAAGGTATGTCGTTAAATATTTTTCTTGATACGGACCGAAACAAATACCGCGTAAAACACGAAAATTGAGTAATAAAGACGACGACACAACTATGGTCAGTTTTTTTTAATTCGCCCCTTTTTATACCAAAATGGGTATAATTTGTTCTATAAAATTTATCTAACCCAACTTGTTGTGTCACCCCACATTTTTTACGCACCCATGAGTAATTTTAGGACAATTAAGCTTTTTAAAGAATGTTATCCTTTTGCAGATCTGCGGGAAGAGTTTGAAAAATCGCGTCGCACTTCATCGTCATATGAGATTCACACATAGTAATAAAGCGAAACCAAAATGCAAAATCTGTTCAGTTGAGTTCGTGAGACCGGAAAATTTACGCGGTCACATGGCAAACGTTCACAGTACTGAAGCAAGACCACGACACCCTTGCAGTGTTGTAGGATGTGGAAAAACATTTCTTTACAATCATGGACTCTCAAGACATTTTGGAACAGAGCATGCCGAGAATCCTGTTCGATTTTGTTGCACCCTTTGCAGCAAGGAATATACGACAAAGCTAAACCTAGAAGCTCACATAGCAGCTCATACGGGAGAAAAAAGCTACAAGTGTGACACCTGCGGAATGATCTTTGTAACTCATTACAGATTGAAAGCACATCAGGTGAGAGACTTCAAATCCTTTAGGGTTTCTTTTTCTTAGGTATAAAACTAAATATGTAATTACATATATTTACATAATTTTCATTTAATGGTTTATTTTTTAAAAAATTCAGGAAGTCCACAGGGAGAAATCCAAAAGAAAAGTTTACAAGTGCGAATTATGTCCTAGCACTTTCTTGTCCAAGATGGGAATCTCCCGTCACGTTAGGACCATCCATGGAGACAGGAATTATCTGTGCACCCATTGTAACAAGAAGTACAACAGATTGTCCGGTTTGAGGTACCACATTCTAACGAAGCACAAGACAGAAGACATGCCAAGCTATTCGTGTGAGGAATGCGAGTATAAGACAGTGGTAAAAACAAACCTTAAGCTTCATATCAAGCGGGTACACGAAGGTGAGAAGAGGAGAGAATGCTATTTTTGTGGAAAGACATTTTTTGCCTTTGCAAGTTTAGTTAGTCACTGTTCTAATGCTCATACATTAGAAAAATTGTAAATGGTTTAATTGTCTGTAAAATTTTGGAAAGAAAGAGGTATCAATTGTTACAAGGTGGCACAATAAAATAATGCAAAAATACAATACAAAAATTCCATTAGTCACATGGATGGACTTAATAAGTGTGTTAATATTAATGGAAAAATTGCACGTTTAGGTTAAGGCCCCGCAAATATTTTATGAAAGCATGATTTTGCACAAAATCACGACCGCATTGGTCACGAAAATCACGATTAAAGTAATACATATATCTATGTACGGTGCATAACGTATGTACGTTGTATTATTATGTAATATTTCGCGATGCTTTCATCAGACGAATATTGTGGCTGGATGGAATAAAGTCGAGCTCTTTTTCTGTGGAAGGGCTCACTACGAACTCTACCCTTTGAATGAAAGGCGACCACTTAAATTCTAAAGAAGTCTTTTCCAAGAGGGCAAACAATATGACAACTTCTCTGGTACCCACGCAAGTTTTTTGGGTAAGCGTGGTTGCCCAAAAATAGAAAAACCTTTCACTAAAGTTCTGCTGAGCCCAACTAATAGTTTTGGATAAAATATCTACCACATATTCTTACTAAAGCCCAGGAGGTAGACATTCATAGTTTCACCAACTCTCTAAAAGTTCTAGAAAATTTCGTGTTTCAAATTAGACATCGATAAATTCTTAGTCTAATAATGGAAGCCATCCGTCCCAACATCCCACAGTGTCCACACTGATCAAAAAGTTTCAAAACCGTGAGGTATCTAAATGCTCACCTCATTACGCATGACAAGAACGCGTTAGTTAATTGCAAGGTATGTCGTAAAATATTTCTCTTCATTCAGACTGAAAAAAATACCACGTACAAACTACACTCAGCGGAAAGTTGAATACTAAAGACGATGACACAATTATGGCCTGTTTTTTTAATTGGACACTTTTTTATATAGGTCAAATTTTAAATTTTGACGATAGTTCCGTAAAATGTATCTGTCAAATCCGACGTTAGTTTAAGAATACGTATTTTAGTTTAGTCACCGGTGACGGCACCTGTGTCACCTCACCGATGGACTTACAGTGGTTGGCCATCATATTTCACACTAGAGTAAAGTCACCGGTTGGACTATCTCTAAATATGAGTAGCTCGACCCCCCTACATAGAAATTTTTGGCCTTTGCGAGTTTAGTTAATAAGTGCTCTAATGGTCATACATTATAAAAATTGTAAATTGTTTAAGTCTCTGAAAAAATTGGAAAAAAGGTATCAATGGTTTCAGGGTGCCACAATAAAATGATGCAAAAATATGTACATGTCAAAAGACAAAATTCCAACAGTCACAAGGAAGGACTTAATAAATGTTAATATAAATGGAAAAATCTGTAATTTTCTGTAATTTTGAACATCATTGCTATTTTTCTAAACAAATTTTTGCAAGCGTTTACAAATTTGCGACAACATGATATTACTAATAAAATCACGGAAATCACAAAAAGGAATAACATCATAATAAATCGAACACTGTGATTATCACAGCTGGAATTCTGTCACTATAATTTTTGCGATTTGTGTTTTATTCCACGTCTTTGTTTCAAGTTACATAGCAATATTTCGCGATTCTTTCATCAGACGAATATAACAGTCCAAAATATTTATATCCGATCTGAAAATGGGTGAGGGCTGCTAACGGTGAGAAGATTTTGTTCCAGCCAGAAAAGAGAATGTGTGGCAGTCTCGAACCAGTCTGGATTAACCAGTCAAACCGGTCTGAAGCGTCGCCTCGCTTCTAGATTGGGAATTGGAATGCCCAACACGTCACGCAGAATCCCCCTCAGTAAAAACTCTGGATCTGTGAGGAATTCGGGATTTCCTAAAATATCTGAAGTTCCCTGGATGAAGGAAAACCGGATATTTTTTTAAATATACTTTTTTTATTTTCACAATTCTAAGTACTTCTAATAAAAATTATGGCTTTGAAATTTTTTCTTGAGAATTCACAAATTGCCTTCTTCTAAAACACTCTGCATTCTTTCAACTTGAAATTGTCTGGGGTAGTGGGTGTGGGAAAGGGCAATGTTGAAGTCGTCCTCCAACCCCATTGCGTGACCTAGGACGGCCCATAAATGCGCGAAATCTATAAGTCCTTCCCGTTTGTAGTTGAATACCAAAGTCCCCTCTAGATTGGTGGCAAGCACGCCGAAAAAGGCCCATTGTGTCATAGCGTGGACAAACTGGTTCATAGGAACCGTGATGTGGTTCCCTCCTATTTCGTAAAATTTTAAAATTCAAATTTAGTAAATTCTATTTATAAAGTAGCCACTATTTTAAAACTCACAAAATATTGTAATACAATTTTGCAAAATTTACATCTGAATGTTTTCCAAAATCTTAAAATTATAACATTGCCAAAAAAATTATCCTTACAATGAATTGTGATAATGGATGTAATTCACTAAGCCAGCATGTTTTTAGTTTCAAAAAGTTACACTGATTTTAATATCAGACGTTTCAGACAAAAAATAAGTATTTGAGATATCCGCCCTATGTACAGTCAACAAAAAACCAGTCCGGTAAATTTTTTGTTGCGAATAAATTAAAAAGGGTCCCATAAAATCAGGGTGCAGCCTCTGGACGTTCGCATTTTAAGCACAATTAGCACAATTTTTGCTAAACTTTACTTAATATCAAAATTTTATGAACTTCATATCTTATAAAATTTACTTTGCAATTCCTTCGGAATAACTCGCATACTAAAAGGAATCCTAGACTGGTCCAAATCTGCCTGAAACGCTGCCCACAAACCGGAATTAATCTTCCTCCTTCGTACAATAGACTCGATTGTAGGCCCAAACGTGCCCTGCGAGTCTGCCGCCACCTTATCCCCCACTCTAGCATGAATTAGATGAACATTCGTCAAACTTTTCAAAGTCCAGGCTGGATATATTTGAAAACCTCGCCGCATCCATAGAAATACTTGCAACATTGTGGCAGCATAACGGCGCCCCGCGCGTGGACGAGTGTCAGAATTTTCTGCAAAAAATTTGAAGAATAATATTTTCCAGAAAATAGTTTTTGCAATCTTTTTTAATTTTGCACTTTTTGTCAAAATAGTTATCGTAAATAAAGAACGTCCGGGAATGAATGGGAATGGTCTGAAAATGTGGTCATAAAATCACAATGAGTTATCGGAATTTTAAACTTTTTGCATATGTATAATACCAAATACGTACCTACATAATTTAATTAATAGCTAAGGCCGCCACACCCCCGTTGGCGACTAGTTCGATTTTCTTGCGAAGATTTTTCATTAAATTTTTTCCCGAAGTTTTTGCCACTTCCGAGGTGATTTTCTTCCATCGTCCTTTGAATTTTCGAAAGGTGTCAGGCACATCTTGAAGCCGGGAGTATACTGACTTAGAACGTGCCCAGAATTTTTCGATTGGGCGGAGTTGGGGTACATTAGGTGGGTTGATATCTTTTGGTACGAAATCAATATTTTTCTTTCTGAGGTACTCGGTCACTTTCTTTGCATAGTGACAAGTGGCGAGGTCAGGCCAAAACAAAACTTTATCATTTTTGTGAAACCTATTAATAAATGCTTCCAATCCAGCCTTGACGCAATTTTTCAGATAAATATCTTGATTGATATTCCCTTCGAGAACTACCGGGTCTGATACATGTCCGTGACTGGAGATGCATTGCCAAATGCAATATTTCTTTGGAAATTTGTCTTTTTTTCGTACTTTTTCTTCATAAGCCACTTCAGAGGGATCCGAGCTATGAAAAAAATGACGCCCTGGAAGATTTGAAGGGTCAACCGGAACATACGTTTCGTCATCCAGGATCACTACTTTTCCACGCATTTTCTTCAACAATTTTTGACAGCAATCCTTGATCCGACTTTCTTGTACGGGCTTGTAATTTGGTGCAGGTTTTTTGGTCCTTGCTTTGATTCCTAATTTATGGACCTTAATTTCCCCCAGGTAGCTTTTGGAAATTTTGACTTTCCTGGCAGCTACAGCTACTGACGTTGATGGCTTGGTTTTGAAAATTTTTTCAATTCTATTTTTCACTCGAGTGGTCGCTAGCTTCGCCGGACGACCAGCTGGCTTCTTGAATTGCACATTTTCGGAATCCTTGAACTTTTTTATGTAGGAATACACATTTGAACTTGGAATTCCTTCCTGCTTAAAAAAGTTCCAGGTCACCTTGGAGTCTCGGTTGGCTGTCGTGTTGTAGAACTCCATCACTCGTTTTGCTAACAGCTCCCTTTCAAACAAGCTTCTTCTACCCTTATCCATTTTTGAAATTTAAGAGTGATATACCAAATTGACCCTAATGAAGTGGGCTTTCAGAAATTTAAATTATTATAGTTCGCGGGTTTATTGATTTGTCAATATACTCGCTAGAGCGCGCATTCCCATTCATTCCCGGACGTTCTTTATTTTGTCTTGCTTACCCGTGAATATCAGAATATCGCTTATCTGTGGAAACGCGAAGAGCATACTCAACCCGTAAAAAGCCGACAACACTACCCCAGTTACATGCTCCAAGGCAAACTGTTGACCTCTCGATACCATGTGGGGATTCATCCATGGCGGATACAGGTCAGTGGCATTGGCCCCATGAAATCTTCTCATATCGAAATATAAGCCGGAAATGAGGTCTCCCTCCTCCAAATGTCCAAATGTCTCCCTCCTCCAAATGAAGTACTGTAATAAATAAATAAATTGAAAGTTTTCAAAGAAATCGACTTTAACTTACAAGTTCCGACGAAAGATGTAAGAAACGCAATAAATCCAAACAACACAGTCGTAATTTCCGACACAAAAAACACAAAATCACGTTTTGAAATCAGAGTTGATACATAAATATTTCATACCCGTTAATTCATTTCTGAAAAGTTGCTGTATTTAGTAAATTATTCATTACAACTATCACACACATTACCCACTAAATGCACAGATTTCTATTAAATAAACTGGATTACGTATTGCACAGACAACATTTTTCCGAGAAGAACAGAGCGATTGTGTGGCATTTTCTTCATGCAGATTGGATGAAATTAAAATGTACAAATGGACATAGTACGACACCTGTATATTTGTACGTATAGATGTGAATGGAATAACTATGTAGATGTGATATGGGAAAAAAAGATTGTCAAGATATAACAGAGCGAGAGGTGTACACCGATTCTATTCAAAATACCGTGAAAATATTTCAAACAAATCTTAACAACAAAAAATATTGAAATTCACAAAAGACTCCTCACTCACTTACTCTGATGATGAGTGAGTGTCAAATGAAATGAAAAGTGTCAACGATTATTATTATTTCCTCCCTCTTCATTCATATACTTATAAAATTTAATGCTTCTGTTTTCACACAAATGTTCTAACCCGTTATCCAATTTTTTATACAACACAAAACACCACACTGTCATTCATACATATGTAGATGTCAACAAGAGTAGAAAGTCCTTGCACGTAAGTAATGACTTCAATTTATCAACTTTGCAAAAAAATGAACACCATCATTTTTGCGAAAAGTGAAACACGCTAATAAATATAAGAAAATTTGTAGAAATATCAGGAAAATGAAAGCAAGAGTTTAGTGTAATGGATATACATGCACTCAAAATAAACTGGTAACAGGCTGGTGACTATATGTGACTCTACCTCTACGGTAATAAATTTGTCACTGAGCAGTCGTACATTTATTACCAGGCTGGTAATAGTTACCTGCTGGCGAGTGACATATACATATCACCAACTTGGTAATACTTTATTACCGGCGGTAACAAATTTATAACCCTGCGGTAATACATTTTCTATTACCAGACCGATGACTGTATACATACGTATGTATGACTTCATATATGACCGGATAATTTTGTGTAAGTAATTGACTTAACTTACTGCATGTTAACATACGTTTAACTCTACTTGTCATAAAATTACACTAACGAATGACTTTACTAATTCATGAGAGAACACAATAGGTAGAACAGAATCATATCGGAAGCATCTAAATATTTTAATTTATGATGCGATCGGTTGAGGAGTAGACTGGGTATAATGACTTGTAGAATTTGACCTGGTTAATAGATTTACTTAAAATTGATAGCAAGTGTAGGTTGGTATCTTATCAACTTTGTTTTGCCCTGGAGGTCTTGTCCCAGTCGCTTCCTGACCACTAATACGATTTTTTATTGCAACTGTCAAATGAGCGATTTTCCACTCTCTTCAGCAATACCCTTGCTGATTTTCCTACATTGCTGTTTGAAATCGTGTGGATTTCTGGGTTGAGAATCAAGATTAGAGTATCTCCTTTTGCAAACAGCCAATTCTTTTTAGATTTGTCAACGTTGAGGGACATTTGGAGGTTATGTTTCCCGGGGACAAAATTGACGCCATTGTCGTCCAAAAATGAGATGCAAACTTTGGCATAAATGGATGTTGCCAAATCAAGGAATGCGTTTATTTTATTTTTTATCTGAAGCCTAGGTATTCAGGGAAGTAGCTGATTCTTGAAAATTACATTTTTTTTATTTTTGAGTGGATTGTACAATTCGCAAGGTAACGTGCAGAAGCGGTGCCAAAACTGTCCATGACTTGTAAAATCAGAATTTTTTTTAGGGAACTTGCTTCCGAGGTTTACTTTCTGATTGTAAACAATATCTTTAGGGGTGTAGGAATAATAAAACTTGTTTCCTGGAGTCTCTGCAAGGTCTAGGTTGACGTATGTATTGTCATAAAATCTGAGAATTTTGTCTGACATTTTTTGATGATTTTTTTTTGCATCCTTGTTTGACTCGACTTTATTGGTCTTTCGCATTTTTTGATCCAGCTTGTTTTATGCTGGCCTTAATCCCCAACAATGGGACTTTAAATTTTGACAACCAGCATTTTGAAATTTTAAGCTTACGAGCAACAGCACGTATGAGCGTGGAACAGTTGGAGAAAAAAGTTTTTTATGAGCTTTAATTTTTGTGGGGTGACTACGGTATGAAGTCTGTTTTTATTGATTTTGAAATCGAGTTTTTCGGAATCCCTATACTTCGAAATATATCGGTGGATTGTCGTTTTGGACCTCCGGTCCTGTGGGAAGTTGTACAACTTCTTCTTTGAGTCAAACCCGACAATGATTTTATAGTTTTGCAAAAGGCGATTTGCGACTTATTTAGATTCTGCGCTATTACACCGCTTCCAGGTTATTTTCAAAAATATTTTTGATAGTTTCTTTTCACTAGTAAAATGGGCTTTCAGAAAAAAAATAAAATTACTCACATGGTTCAAATGATTGTGCACTAAACAAGAAGGAAACGCGGTCTACTCCTCAACCGATCGCATCATAATAATGTTGAATGTCGTGTGTATGCGTGCACCTACATTTGCATGTGCTGATTGCTTCTTCATTACTTGTAGACTCTCATATACGTTACATATATAAATATGTCCTTGAAGTATTTGTAAGTAATTTGTAACTCAAAAACGCAGAAGTTTCTTCCACTTAAAAAAAATATTTATCATCTTTCCGTAGATTTTATATTTTTATGTTTTTATATTTTGACACATATTTATAACATTTAATATAAATTGCAATTTTGAAATAAGTAGCTTCAGCTTCGTGACAACATTTTAATGCAAATTTAAAATTGAACTAGCCAATACGAAAAAAATTACAAGGCGGCGATGCTGATGATATTGTAATTTTATTAGGTAGGTGGGACTTTATTTAATCCTTTTAGTCGCACGTCCCAGACTCACCTAAGACATCCGTTTTTAAGGTTTACGTAGTAACATTGTTCACGTTTTTCGACCTGGTGACAAGTAAATAATGGGTGTCGTCATATTTTAAAAATCTGGAAATATATAATTTCCTTCATTTCCTAAGCTTTCTAAAGCCGTTCTAATTTTTGAAATATCTTAAAAACTGACGGTGCAAGAAAATATCTCAATTTTCAATGTTGTTAGTTATGGGGATTCCCAAGGGTCTATTAATTTTAGACAGACTCATAG